TTAAGTTACCTAAAAACAAGCTATTTCCTATGTCTTTCTAAATCCTTGCTGCAAAAGCTAGTAATTTCTTAGCTTATAAGTGCTTTTCCTATTCGCCAAACATGTCAGGAAATAAAACAGGCTCTAGAGAGCTTACAAGTTCCTGTTGAGGGGAAAAAAAGCCCAACACCTCTCAACTAGAGGCTCCATTATCTCATCTCAGAAGAAATCAAAAATAACCAACCATCAGTTCTTACCTTTTGTAATGCGGTTCTCAATAGCCTTCTTAAGGGAGCGTGCCTGCCTCCAGTCAGGTTCAATCTAGAGCCAAAAGAAAAAAAGCCCAATCAATGATTTAGAACATATAACATTTTCAGAAATAAGAAATTCCATTCCGAAACGAGGAATGTGGAACCAGACCGTCAAACACCGTTCCACAAGCTCCCTGCTCCTTGAATATTCACCACTTCTATAATGCCCAACTGCCAGAAGATAAAGCTTTTCTCTCATTTTCAATGAACTTGCAATGTTAGCCAATGAAGCTGCAAAAGACAATAGCGTTTCTTTTTAACAAAATGAAGATGGGGCGAGAAGCTAAGAGAGAAAGGAGAGAAGGGACAGCAGATGGCGGGGAAGCAGAAAGAACGGGGCTTTATTTATTTGTTCACCTTCAAGCATAGCTATTCCACGTTGAACGTCCTCCGGCCTTTTTGAGTGAACAAGAGCCCATGATAAGCGCATAATGCAATCACTCTTAAAGTCATCAGAAGAACCTTTTTCTGCCTCACGTACCTCTTGCTCACAGCCCTGCATATGGCACCAGTTTACAGATAAACAATTTTTCTGAAAGAAGAAATGAAAAATATATAATAAAATGCACCAAGGGGGTGCAGTACGTATTTAAAACATATTTACATCTCAGTAATGTTATTTATGACATGTCCCAAATCTTCAAATTTATACATGTTTTATCCCAAAATAGTAGAACCAAAATAGTGTAACCAACTATCCCTAATCTTTACAATATCCATTTCCACCCCATCAAACGCTCTCTTATTCCTTTCTTTCCAAATCACCCAAAATATAGTCAAGGGGACAGTTCTTAATGCTTTTTCTTCTTGTACATCCCACTCCATACCCACAACTCCCTTCA